AGGGCCTATTTCAAAAGCTCGTCGTTCCAATGGGAGCGACGCATTTTAATTTCGGTTCGGCTTTACGGTAGTTCATTGCTGTACACATTTTTATTCTAAACTATATGCACTAATCATAAACTAAAATATTTTAGGACGGCACAGTGAAACAACCTTACTGACAGGTCATTTAGCAATGGATTCAATATAGTCTTTCCACTTCATGTCACCCGAGAACGTTAGTCCAAGAAAGCGCATCGAATCGCTCTCCCAGAGGTCAGCTTCAACATGCTGATTGAAGGCAGAGGGGTCTCCCCGATGATTAGTAGAGAACAGTATAGTTTTGGAAGCGTTAAAATTAGCATGTCATCCTTTGCTCCAGCTAACAACAGATTGAAAGTTGTTTTGGATACCAGCTGTCATTTTTACCTTATCAAACTGATCAGACTTACGACTGAGACATAAGTAAATGGTTGTGTCATCAGCGTAGATACCAAGTTGAGCGCTGATATCATCAGGAAGGTCATTAATGAAAAGAGGACAAAAGATGGAAGCCTACATTAATACGAAAAGAACTGGAAGAGTAGCCGTTCAGGATTACTTTCATTTCACAATTCAATAAGAAATATTGGATCAGTTTAAAAATTTGTCCCGCGATACCATAACTTTTCAGCTTGTGGAAAAGACCTTCATGCAAAACCCCACCGAAAGCTTTCAAGACGTTCAAAGCAACGGTCAGAGCTTCACGATTTTTATGAAGACTTTGATAGACTCTTTCTGCAGTTATCGTCAGTACAACAGTTGACCTGGAGAAACGAAAGTCATGCTGATGGTCTGAAAAAAAGGCTCTGCGATGTTAGATGCTAATTCAGCATTGATTAAGGCCTTGAGGAGTTTTCCCAAAATGAGGAAGAAGGCTAATAGAGTGATAGTTGGAATGGTCGGACGGTTTCCCAGAGTTCTTATAAATTGGAACAATAGATGAAGATTCCCATCAGGCAGGAAAATAAAAGGCGTCGCTGCACTTGTAGAGTTGGATTAATGTAGTAGTAGATTGCAGCCAAATTTCTGTATCAATTTCTGCCGGGCTGCAAAGAGACGTGAAGTTTGATTTTTGTCCTTTTCGAAGACGTCATTCATCCGATTGGTCAATTTCGGATGCTTTTCATTGATTGCTGCCTTTAATCGATTCAACTTGTTGAATACAACGCCTAACTTTGGTAAAGGAATTCGTAATAAAGAATGCCTTTCCAATTGCACCAGATACACAGCTTCATATTCTTCGGATGCGAACCAACTTTTGGAAAGACCATCGTTGATGTAAACAATCCATTTTCCATCAATTGTCACATTTAACGTAAAAAACATTTACAATTCACAAGCCATACACGAATCGAAACACGTTGAAATATCTTCCGTTGTTGTGGATGTGCGGTTGATGTAAAGGATATTTGCTCAGAAATCGGAATGAACGATCCGAATAAATATGATCTTGTGAAAAGCATGAAACTATTTCTCACCGCTTTCTAGCAACGGGTCAATTAGCAGGGTTATAGACTAAGTTCTCTAGCGTTGGATGGCAACAAGCCTATGAGAAGGAAAACTCTGAATTCAACAAAGTGGAGATGGTGACAGAATACCACACCACTATGATATCAAAGAATGAATTGTCATTCACAGATAATGAAATAATGTGCGGAGAGCCATGATCCTCCGCGTCCTGAAGGGACATGGCTATTCATATTTAATAAAGAAAAGCAATGTGACGAGCCATGATCGCCCACGTCCTGAATGGACATGGCTATTTATAGTCAATAAAGAAAATAAATGTGCGAAGAGTCATGATCGCCAATGTTCTGAAGATCTTGTCTATTTATAGCTAATAAAGTTAATATGAGTTAATATAGTTAACTATAGTTAATAAAGAAATGTGTGGAGAGCCATGATCGACAACGTCCAGAAGGGACATTTGTAGCTAATAAAGAAAATGTATAGTTAATAAAGTTAATATAAGTTAATATAGTTAACTCTTTATAAAGAAGAGAAACGTGTGGAGAGCCATGATCGCCAACGTTCTGAAGCGACATGGCTATTCATAGTTGATAAAGGAAAGAAATGTGTGGAGAGCCATGATCGTCTACACTCTGAAGGAGTATAACATAAAATATTATATATATGTGTGAAACTAAATCATTTTACCTTTTGAAAAATGCTACGAACTTTTCTTTACCCAATATTTAAAAACTAATAAGTGTGCTGTACCAAATAACTGAAGGAAATAATTCAGCTGCGCATGCAATTATATTTGGTACCCAAAAGAACCTCTGAATTCAAGAAGAAACGGTTAACTTTGGATGTTTGATGAGTTTATTTAAAAAGAAACAAGAAAAAAATAAACCAAAAATATTATGAAAAATTGCAAACTGTCCGTGAATTCTGGGAAATCTTCTTACAGATGAAAAAAAAAAACATGGATGCTGAGAAAACTCTGTACTGAAGATGAGAGCAACGACGAAGTTTTAGAGAAAATGAAAAGAAAAAGGACATTCATACCTAACATCAGAATGAGTTAGTCGCAATTTATAGGGCTTATGATGAGGAAAACGGGCTTGGAAAATTGGATACTCACAAGACAGTTTAAAGTCAAGAGGGACAGAGGAAAGTAAAGAATAACCTACATAACGAGTTTGTGTAGATGGTTAGCAGAACAGAATTTAGGAGAGGTAGCAAAAATATAAAATTTACTAAGCGCTACAAAGGACAGGAAATAGCGTAGAGCCGTGATCACCAGTGTCCAGAAAAGACATGGTACCTAGGAACAGTTGAAAGAAGAATCTTTGTCTAAAGAATCCGTTCTGTTGTAGATCAGCCAGAATGTCGCAGAAAACATCTACGAGCAGGAGGGTTACATTTCTAATTTCAACACTGACAATTCTAAACTCATCTCCAGTAAATGGCAACAAGCACCCCCCCCATCTTCTAATTAAGCTGTCTGCATCTAATTTCCTTCCCTGCTAGTAATTTAGCAGCTCCAGTTTCTATCACTTACAAGTGTAAATGAATTCCTGGCCAAGAGTGACTCATTTGTATTTATTTTGACATATCGCATGACAAATATATGTGTGATGAACTGACGATGTTTCTTAGCTTTACGAATGATAGACATATTTCCTTTGGGGTTGTTTTGCTTTTTAATCCTGCCAGCATTTCCTGTGTTTATTTCAGTTCCTGCTGTTTAGATTTCCAAATTTAGACTTTCACTCGTGAGAAAGAAAACTTGGGAAAAATCTGTTCAGTGTACGAGGGTTAATTTGCCGACCACGCCATCTATTCATCAGTAATTCGATTACAGATGTCCGATGCATAATATCTCTTCATACAACCGACGTAATTTTAAAAGCAGTCGAAGTAGTGCTGGAGTTGATATGGTAATTCTAAGATTAACCGTTGCTTTATAAGGAAACACTTTGCATTCATTCAATCGAGATTGATTGATTTGTTTGTCTAACGGCATTATGGATCATTTAATACCGACATTTTATTTTTGAGTGCTTTTGAAAGAATTTAGTAATTTTACTATATTTATATGCAATTTTTTTTATATAAAATACATTACTAGTATTTTTACCATAAATATCGATTTCTACATCTTAATAGTTTTTTTGTTTTTTGGAGATTTACTATTTGCTCATAGATGGGGCCCTGAAAAGTTCTACCATCCCGGCTCGGGTTGGACCTAGGAACAATAATAATTAAGAGGTGGTTCGACGCTCCTCGATCAGAGGCCTTGCTGCCGGATATAGTTTATCGTCATACCTAGGACGACATTGACCGAGAAGCCAGTACCAAATAACGGTTGAAATTTATAAAATCTTTCCCTTAAACCTTTTTTCCAAGAAAATTGGTTTCTTGGATCAACTAGTTGTTTTTCCACTTTGTAGTGTTGATGGAGGCTAAGGTGGCTATACATTTTTAGGCTTTTCGCTTGTACTTATTTTCTAGAATGAGACCTATACCATTTTTCTCCATATGAGACATATACCCACTTTAAAAGCTAATGTTTAGGGAAAAAAGGGAAAATGAAGCTTTCTTATTTATTTTAAAAAATATAATAGTAATAATTTGGCAGTTGTTTGGTTGTGTTTGTTTGCATATAATTAATTGCATACGGATTATTTAAAGGCGAAATCTAAATATTTTGAACACAATTGCATGCCTTTAAATACAGATAAAATGTATTGTTGCTAATTTTGCTATAAATATCTATCGCTGTTAATTTTACTATAAATTGGTATTGTTGCTAATTTTGCTTTCAATAGGTGTTGCTGATAATTTTGCTATAAATCTGTATTGTTGGTAATTCGTTTACATACAAATATATTACTGGTATTTTTATTATAATATGTATTTTTATGTTTTCATAATGTTTTGTTTTTGTTTGGGATTCACTAATTACTCATAGCTGGGACCCTAACAGGTGCTACCACATTGGGTCAGGGTGAACCTGGGGACAACAGAAATTAAGAGATGCTCCTTAAACCTTCCAATCTCCCGAAGTACTGGATGTAGTTCATAGTCATACCCAGGGCTGATTTCACAGTTCAATAGCATTGTCATAGATTGATTCTTTTAATCATTTCACCCAAGTAAGGCAATAAAGCCATTACGATGCAAAAGATTACGCCGAGTGAAATAAACAGGGAGGACAATAAAAGATGTTCAAGGTGACAGAAAATGACGATTGAGATTGCATTTAATTTTTTGAAGATTGTTGTTGGCAGGAAGGTGGGAAGCCAGAAGTCAGGTCCACAAACGAGAAGTGCAAGAGAAGAAATTATAGCATAGAACTTTAGCTTGTAACTAACAATTTCGATAGTGAAATTATGAAAGCTAGCTGCCAATCTAGCACTTGACTTAAATTCGTGAAGTCGAGGGACGAACGAGGAAAGGCAAAGTGGAAAAAAAAAACAGACTTTTCTTTAAATCTCAATCATTCCATATAACATCCCGAACAAATCTGGCTTGCGGCCATGTCATGTTGAAACACCGATTCTCGTACGATCACCGAAGTTAAGCAACGTCGAGCCTACACAGTACGTAGATGGGTGACCGCTTGGGAAGACCAGGTGCTGTAAGCTTGGAAGTGCGAGGGGTTTAAGGGATAATGGTTCAGAATTGTTAATCGGAGAGCCGAGTTCCAGTTCCCGTTGAGTTCGTTATTCACGTTTGATTCGTTATTCACTTACGCAAATAATATTGTCAAAGGCATGAATCCAACTCTTTTCTTCCCAGTTACGGGACAATTAGCCAGACTCGTATCACTTATTATCTCAAAAAACAAAATCTTGAAATATTTTCTGGGTTTAAATATGTTACAAAGGGTTGATAAGCCGTAAAAAACGAATAGACCAATCAATCAACGAAACAAATACGGTGAAGTAATGGATAACGGCTCAGATTGAGGAATCGAAGAGCCGATTTTGAATCTATTACATTCACTTACGTGCTAATAGCCTTGGGGAAAATTATGAATCCTCTTCTTCCCCTAGTAAATAGGATAAATAGCAGGACAGACCAGGTTGTATAGCCTTTGATGGCAACTGGTCTACCGCAAAAAGAAATGGCAACCTACTGCGGGAATGACTCGTGATACATGACCGTCTAAGCGTGTATCACGCATGACACATAGCTGAATAAAAGACAACGATCCTACCCTACCAGAGGCCAATATACTGATGATGAAGTGGATGGATCTATGTCGATGAAATAAGTTTTCATCGATAAATATGAACGAAAAACTTAACATCCTCTACCAAGTGTTCCATGCAATAGGACTGAAGATTAACTTTTCCAAAACAGAAACTATAATCTGGTGTAGGAATGTGAGGGCACATCCCCTGAATCCATCATAAAAATTCAGGAAGTGTTAGTAAATACCAAACATTTCAAATACCTCTGTGTATGGAACAGTTCTTACAACATATTTGGTAGAGGCGATAAGGAAATTGAACATAGAATAGACTGAACTAGACGTAGTTTCGCCTAACACCGCAAATTGCGACTGCCACCCCCTCCAAAAACATTAACTTGAAACTCAAGTGATGTTCTCAAATAGTCTCGTCAGATCAAGACTTTCATATGGATGTCACGCATGGTGCAAAACCAGTTCAGAAATATCTAAACTATCAGCTGTATAAACTCGCTTTCTCAGATGAATAGTTAAAAATGGCTTTGAACGAATGAAACCAGTAGGTCTCAGCGAGGACTATCTTTATTTGAACATTATTAAATGGTACTACCGAGTCACAAACAAAACGCTTTACAACATACCAGAGCACTAGTGGACTTCCAACAGCAGCAACAACTAAAATGCACAGCACAGTTATCTCGAAGAGATAATAATGACATTGATTTTGACGCGCGACACTATTTCATACAAAAGTTTAGCATGGTAGTTCCCATCGATAATGGATTTGACGATAACAGCAGCAGGTCTTGAGAAATCATTTTTTTTCCTGAAAAATAGTTTTAAGAGAAAGATTTTATATATTTCAACCGACAGTGGTACTAGCTGCTCGGTCAAAAAAAATTCTGACGGTTTCCTTATAAGGAAACACGAAACATTACCATTCTTCTTCACTGTGCCGTGTCCCTTCAGGACTTTGGCGACCATGGCTCTCCATAATTTCCTGTTCTTTGTGGCTCTTAATAAGACTTGTTTTTTTGCCATCTATCTCACATCCTACACTGCCACCTATTTAGTCAAGATCGCCAAGTAGGTTGTGCGTTGATTTCCTCTGTCACAGCTTCATTCTCTCCGGTGAATATCAAATTTCCTCATTATGTTCCCCAGGAATTTCAACTGTCATTTCCTGATGTTAATCATATGTATCCGTTTAGTTGCCATTGTCTCTAGAACTTCGTCGTTGCTGCATGGTATTCTCAGCATCCTCCTGTAGAACCACATTTCTCTTTCTTCAAGTCTCTACTTCTGTTAGGAGATTGTCCGGCATTCACTGTGGTAAAGTAGGACCGATACTACATGACAGTTCAGTACACTTATCTTTGTTTCTGGGGAATTTTTTTTTGTTTTTTTAATACTTTTCTCAATTTTTGGAAGGCACCTTTCGCTATTCTAATAGGCCTTCAAATTTTGGTGTCAGACATTTTCTCCTCTGTTAATATGCTTTTCCTATATCTAACTTGTTGCATCTGTTTGGTTTCGGTATCTCCAATCTGTAATTTGCATGTTAGGCTGTCCGTTTTACTAACAACCATTAATTTAATATTCTTGCAATTGAAGTTTAGTATTTTGCTTCACTACCTTCTGTCGGAGTTCTTGTCGTTTCCTTTCTGTGTCTGATATCTACACTGCGTCATTTGCATATCTTATGTTGTTAAGATTGTGTTCGCCAATAATGAATCCTGGTAGGATTTTTAATTCTCTCAGAATCGACTCACTGTACAGGTTGAAAAGGTCTGGCAAGAAGCCGTATCTTTGTCGTACATCCCGTTTTATATTTGTATATTTACTGAATTCATTTTATGTCCGTATGCAGGCAGTTTGCTCCTAGTATAGATTCGGGTTTATTCAGATATCCTTCCCACATATCTCAAGGTTACCCAGCTGTTCCAATAGTTCTATGTGACGTAAATTATCAACCATTACCATTAGGTAACAGTGGTTGGGTTGAAGCCTTCCCAGCTCCCTATAACATTGAGAATGGTTTTTTATGCTTTTTTCTTCACCTAGTAGAAGGATTGCAATAAAAGAGTTTGGAGGGGAAACCTCGCCGCACTACAATCATTAGCAAATTATTAATGCAGATTATTACTCATATATAGCGTATATGTCTCTGTGTGTAGGTAGGTAGGTAGGTGCACGTTTGTGCATGTATGTGTCGAGAAACGTGGTTTTTAAATGAAAATATCACTTTCACTCAGGAAAGTACCCCAAGCAGCATGTTATGATAACACATTTGTCAGGGTGCGTCACCGAACAAGAATGCCACTACTAATCAGATACGCACGCATAAAAACACACACACACATATATATATATATATATCTTCATATATATACATGTTCCATATATATATATATATATATATATATATATATATATATATATATATATATATATATATGTTCCATATATCTATCTATCTATCTATTTTCCATATATATATATATATATATATATATATATATATGTCTTCCATATATCTATCTATCTATCTATCTATATATACATATACGTTCCATATATATATATATATATATATATATATATATATATATATATGTTCCATATATCTATCTATCTATCTATCTATATATATATACATATACGTTCCATATATATATATATATATATATAGGAGACAAAAATTACCGACAAAATTCTTCTTTTATATGCCGCACCCCTTCAGGACGTCGAAAATTACGACTCTCCACAATTTCCTGTCTTTTGTAGCCCTTAGTAAATTTTGTCATATTGCTGTATCTTTAAATTCCTCTTCTACAAACTATTTATATATGCTCCTTAGTCAGGGGCTATGCGCTGCTTTCTTCTGTCCCTCTTGCTTTCAATATGTCTTTTGAGTGTCAAAGTTTCATGCCTTCTTTCCTCATTATGTGTCATAGAAATTCCTATTCTCTCTTTCTGATTCTATCTATAAATGTCCTTTCTCTTTGCATTTTCTCTAAAAATTCCTCGTTGCTCACTTGTTCATCCTTTTGTTGTCTCGAGTCTTTTCTTCATCTCTGATGATTGTTCAGCATTCACTGTTATATAGGAGAATCGCTATTTCATACAAATTCAGTATTCTTTTTTATGCTAATGAGATTTTCCTGTTTCTTAGTAATTGGCTTATATTTTGGAAGGCAACTTTCTCTATCCCATTAAGCCTTCGAATTTCAGTGTCGAATTTTCTGCCGTCGGATAAAACACTTCATAGATATTTAATTTTATTTTTCACTTGTTTTGGCATCTCCAATTTGTAATTCGCTGGTTGCATTGTTTCTTTTGCTAACAACCGCAGATTCTATCTTCTTGCTATTGACCTTTCTCCTTACTTTCCTATCTTCAGTAGAAGGTTTACTGTAGTTTCCTTTCTATGTTTACCATCAACACGATGCCGTTTGTTGTTAAGATTGTAACCAATAATAATGAACCCTAGTAGGACTTCTAATAATTCAACTTGCTTCACTGTAAAGTTTAAGTTCAGTGAGAAGAAAAACATCCTTGTCTTATACCCCTTTAAATTTTTTGAGTATTTACTAAATTTATTTTCTACCTGTTTACAGGTAGTCTGCTCCCAGTATGAGTTCTGGATTCTTCTAATATCTTCCCCAAATAAATCAAGCTTACCTAGCATTTTGAACAGCTCTTTTTGACTGAACTTGTCAAACGCTTTTACAGAATCGAGATCAAGAATGGACAATCTTTTTCGAGTAGTAGGCCACATTATTACAGTATATCATAAACACACTACTAAAATGATTAAAGTATTTTTGATTAAAGATGCCGCTGCTATTTTTCCAGCAAAAGCATATTCCTCAAAAATGTTATTTTTCTTTGGAGAAAAGATTCCTTGTATAATTAGACAAATTGAAGTCTTCCTATAATATTTTCATTGATGACACCGTGATTAACCCGCATTTTTGGATGTGATCCTTTTCTAATTTATCATCTGAGTATACAAAATATTTGTAAAAGAAGAATAATTATCATTGAAGTTTCCAGTTTCTTTGTGTATGCGTATGATCTACCATAGTGAAAATTGCTAATGGTTTAAAAATGCTGACATCGTTACTTTCAACGAAATATTACAAAATGAAAAAAAACAACAAAACATTGTACTTACTCGTTGTTTATGTATGTGGTTATGCATGAACGAAGGAGTGAACAACTGAGAACGAAAAGTAACAAACAACATATTAATAAACATTATTTTCCTCATAAATGCATACTAATATAATAAAAATTATAATATAATAAACAAAGAAAAATAAGAATAAATGGATATATTAAAATAATCAAGATTTTCTTTTAAAAATACTACATCGCTTTCTTCGAGCAATGAAGAAAACACGCCCGTCATCAATATCGGACTAACGAGATTGGTGTGGGC